ACCAAATCTGGAAATGCTTGTAAACAGCAGAAACAGTAAACTTCAAAGTTCGGGGATTAAATAGGGAAGACCCATGCAATTGAACACAATGTTAAGAGAAGTGGAAAAAAACCCAGCTCCTCCAGTCATTCAGAAAACGTTGACGAAGATTTTTTTGTTTCACTCACACAAAGCTTGGAAGTCCATTTAATAAAAGTACAGCCTTCATTTCAGAATCGATATGCATTTATCCACCTAATTTATCACTAGATGCATGCAAATCAGAATATCAAAGTTAGACTGTTCAATGCTTGTGCCTAATTACTGAAAGTACATTTAGTAAGTCTTTTTTTCAGATATCTTGTTGAAATGACATGCCTACACAGTCGGATTACAGAGTACTTGATATAAAGCACTACATAACTGAATTGGTAAAGAAATCGCCCAAACTTAATATCAAAATACTGTCATTCTAGTAAAGAAGTTTTTAAACATTGAATAATAAAATTTTCTGCTGGATGAAGAATGCATTCTTTCCTTCATTTCCACATGAAAAAGTTAGGGTTTTGCCTTCCCCCCTGCAAACCCCGATAAAACATCTCAAGAACTATGTAAAGAATTTTGTACTTATTAAAGAAGGGAGAAAAGTAAAGTGCACACTTTCTGAATATATGATATAGTTCAATACAGTTATACAAAAGGAAAAGATTTTGCTGAAGTGTTGAACAGAAGCGAAAGCTTCTAGGAAAAAAAAACTTAGGAAAATCCAAGAGATTTGCGATTATTCATCCAAAAAGCATATCTAATCATTCTTACTCTATCGTCACCTATTTACAAAAGAAAAGGTGAAAAGTTGTCCATCATTAGGTGTCAAAAACAACTAGACCAAAGAACAAAGAAACAAAAAAAAAAAACCACCTGCCACTGCTGCAAGTGCTTCTAAAAAAACCCCCCCTGCCACTGCTGCAAGTGCTTCTCTCTTAGCAAAGAAAACCAGCATATTCATGTTACTTTTGAAAATTGGATCGATGGGTAGTTTTCCCTGTGAGACCTTTTCTCTCAGCCCAATCACTGAAAAGGAAAACTAACATGCTAAGCAGGAAATTCACAATTCCAAATGATCCCATTTAATCTTGCCAGTTCAGCAGCAATCCATTCCAAATTCAGCTGCAGACAGCTTGCACGTGTAAAGTAGCAGTGATTCCACAAATCAATCTGGAGTAGCTGGCAACTAGCTGCCCCTACATTAGAATCATAGACTGACAGCCTGGTGTTTGAGTGGGAAGGGACCTCACAGCCCATCTAGTTCCAACCCCCTGCCATGGGCAGGGACACCCTCCACTAGCCCAGGTTGCCCAAAGCCC